CGGGGAAGAGAATCAGCCAAGGGATATGACTTTTGGGCACAGATTTTCTTGAAGCAGAGTACCAAGACGAACATACAGATTTAGCTCGTTTGAAATTAGCAAAGCTGAGCCGTTTGAACACCGAACTCAAGAGATCTACAGGAAGCTCGGACCAGGAACTGGATGGATCTTGTCTGAGACACTCGTGAGAATTAGGTTTATGCTTCTTCTCCATGCTAACTATGAGAAACAAGAGAAATTAATCTCTAAAAAGATTTTATAAATCGAAACAATTGAAATATGTCTTTGGATTTTATATAATTTTATTTCGTAAGGAACACGGTCGTTTTATCTCGGTTAAATATGGGCTTTTCCGGCTTATCTCTGTTAGTGAAATTTGAAAAAATGCACTCTTTATGTTTTTAAATTCGAAAACTACACCATATTATTAATTTTTTGAAAAGTATACTTTTTCAAAAACTAATTTACTATAGTATCCTCACTAAAACTGAATAAAATTAGAAAGTTATGTGTCTAATATATTTTTAAACATAAAATCAGCTTCTAGTGATGATCAAATAAATTTTTTATTTCTCTATTTATTATAAAACTTAAATTCAAATTATTGTCTTATATAACTTCTCTAACAATAATGATCAAATACATTTTTTGTTTTCTTTATTATAAAACTTAGTTTTGGATTATTGTCTTATATAACTTCTCTAAAAATGTAGTATATTCAAGTTTTGATGATACCAAAATTTTGTATCTTTACCTTAGTTGAACCAGAACCAAACCGTTTTTTGGTTAAAAGAATAAAAATCATGCTCAACATATAACTATTTTATTAATCAAATCAAACCAAACAAATTGTTTATGGCTATAACTTAACCAATTGGTTTGGACGAATATTGAATTCATGAAAATTTCATGAACCATAGGTTTACTAATCTTGAAAAATCTATGAATTCTAGTCTCCTTTTAAAATCGATGATCAATATAATCTCAATGATCCAATCACTTGACCATCGTAATTGTTGTAG